GGAGCCCAGCACTGGAAATAGCACTCCAGATGTGGCTTAATATTTGTTGAGTATAGTAGAAGGAACATCTCCTTCAACCTGCTGCCAGTACTTTGCAGAATGGATAGTGCAAAGTTAGCCTCCTTTGCAGCCAGGGCATACTGCTGGCTGATATTTAATTTGGTGTGCACCACCATGCCTTAGATTCTGCCATGTCTACCTACGTGGGCTTGTAGAGCTAACTGCACGGGGTTCCTCTCAGCTCATTTCTGCAGCCTGTCAAGGTCCCTCTGGATGGCAGCAGCACCTCTGATATATCAGCTCCCATAGAGAAGCATGACAAGGTTGTGTCATCTGCAACCTTGCTGAAGGTAAACTCTGCCCCATCACTTAGATCATTAATGAAGATGTTAATCAGGATTGGATTGCCACTAGCCCCTTCAGCCTGTTTTCAACTCACTCAATGAAAATTCTCCATATGAAAAGTAATCATTGTATTACTGATGATGGCATTTCATAATAGTAATTCTTTAAAGAACAACCCATTTTTTCCCATAGTATCTCAGAATAAATGTAAATATGATCAAAAATTTTTTGCTGTTGCATACAGTGAAGAGAAAATGCGGGATTAATGAAAATGATGAAAAAGGGATTAATAACTGTAATATTCATTCATTAAACAGCTTGTATCGAGTTTAGTAATTTCTTTTTGGAATCAAAAGTGAATGAGTTAGTGTAACAGGGAACAAGGCAAAGTGCACTTTTGTTGCAGAAAGGAATTTCCTTTCATTTTCTTCTTGTGTGTACATCTGATTTGTCTGTAACTCCCTAAGTTTTCCTGGCCAGATTCTTGGCTCAAATCAAGTTCATGAAAGCAATTATAAGGGGACTTTGCTCAGCAGGTTATCTGACCATCAGACTGTCAAAGGTAGAGGTAATTTCCAAGGACATAACAATTTTCCCTTACTTTAATTTGCCCTTTTAAAGTGTAGTGATATGATGGGCAGATGTATGGCAGATTAATTGCCTAGTGACAACCAAAGTGGCTGCAGTTCAGTGATGTGAGAAGTGATCCTGATATAAAACCTGCACCAGCAGAACTGTAGACTTAGGTGACCTAACGGGTCATTCTTATTTCTGATGCCCAGAAAAAAGTTATAGAACACGTAAATCAATGTAATATCCTTCTAAGAGGGAAATGTTATAAATATAAATGATGTTAATTGTATATTTTAAGTCCACAATTTAGAACTTAGAATAGTTCTACTCTCTCTTACAAAATATGTCTAAATGCCAGTAGTTTTCATTCAGTGCAATGAAAATCTCAATGGCTAATCCAATGACTTTAGAATCAAATGGTTATTCATTTAGCTGGAGATGTAGAATACTATAGTTGGAGTGGAAGATTATAGTTTCTGTACCCTTTATTATGTGGTTTTGATAATGATCTGTTATGTCACATCATGGTTTCATTTCTCTAGGCTCTGGTATGGTGCATTTCTGTGTACACTTCTCATGACTGTACAAAAGAAATTGACATACTTCTCCCTTCCATTTGCAATATTCCCACAAGGAAAGAACAACTGCACAAAAATCACTGCTTTCTGCTTTAAAATTAAGTAACATAGATCTCACCACAATGGTTGTTGCTGACATTTATTTATGGCAGAACAACTGTGATAAGATGCCATCAAAATTACTGCTGTGGCTGTGGGTGAGACACATGTCAAGTTTCTGCACTATGCATTGGATAAGAAATGCAAACTATCTAAGTGCACATTTGTAGGAAATGGCAAATGCAAAGGAATCCTTATACTGAAATGAAAGAGGATAGGAAACAGCCGTGAGTTTTTAGCTTCAGCCAAAGCACTCCAATGTGTTCTGGTGCCTATTCACAGTAACTACTACTACAGCAACTCAAAGCACCTTTGGGGTGCAGATGGCTATGTTCAGAAAATGTATTAACATCATCTAACTATGGGAGGAGAAAGAACCCATCTCCACAGTGAAGAGACAAGTCATGTGAGGATGAGACAAGTCATATGAATATGAGAACAGCACTTTCTGTGATGGTGCCAGAGACACTTGGTGAAATGAGCAGAGCGTGTTTCAGCTCACAGAGGGAACTCACAGAGAGAAACTCATTCCAAGATCACAGTAAACATCGAATTGATCTAAAAGAACAAGAACCTTGCTAAAGCTATTAACTCAGTGAAGCCATCATCTGTGACATCTGTGTGCCAAACAGCAAGGAGTGGAACATCTGACATCATTAAAGAGAGACTCAATTGGTCACCCGTTACAGTGGTGGGAGAAATTAATCTCTGAAATTATTGAATTAGGATCAATATAGCATCCAAAGACTTTCTTAGTTTGGAAAGATAGTGCACAATAAGGTATTGTGTAAATTGGCAGTGCATCATTTTATTGGACACCAATTTTCTTCACCGCTCTGTACAACAGAGTTTAGAAGTTTCTTCCTGATCCCTCAAGGTAAACAGGTGCATCACAAATGAAACAACTCCACAATGTAATAAAAGTTCAGGTGGGAAATCCTTCACAGCAAGAGACATTTCCCTAGGCATTGCTATGGCAACAGATGATTTTTAGATGAACTCATTGAATTTTTACTATTCAAAGCTAAACTGAACTCTTGAACTTGAAGAAATGAGTTTATAAATTGAGCCCATTCTGAAGTATCCCAGGACCTGATTATACTCTTTGAAGGACACAGAAAGGGAATCTGTAATAAGCTTCCACCAACATTCAGTGCTACTCCATAACTGGTTATCTGCTCTTAGGCAGTGAAGAAAGAACAAGGAAAGGAGTCTCTCTGAAACTATGTTTGGTTTGTGAAGTATCTGTAGCATCCCTTGATTAAGGCTAAGAGTATTGCTTCACTGGCAAAAAGGGTAAAAAGCAAATACTCAAGGCATGATTATTTCACCGCGGTTCTTACTTCACATTGGCTGAACTAAACAGTAAATCAGTGATAACTAAAGTTCTAATTTGAGGTAGCAGTTTAAGTTAAATCTCAATACCTGAAAGGAGCTTCAAATCACCTTATTTGACTTAAAAATGTGCTTCTTCTTCGATACATTCCTTCACTCTGGTAACAGGATCTAGGTGATTTAGGATTGTAATTGCCATTTTGAAGAAGCGTGAAGTTTGATTTTCAAAATCAGATGGTTGTCCATAACTGCTACAATTCTGACTCTTCAGGAATTGTAAACTTTAGGTATCTGGAATCTCAGTTTATTTCGCAGAGTCTGGACAACCCACTTCACATTATTCCAAAACGGCCTTGTTGTCAGTCAGAGGTAGAAATGACAGCTTCCTAAATGTACCAGCATAACTATGCTAAGAATCATGTATTTCATTCTACTCTAGAGGACACAAAGAAGTTGTTCTTGTTTTTCTGACCTTACTCATGGATTTCCAAAGTTATATTTCTCCTTAGAACTCTCTGGGAATCCCTGAAATGAGAGTAAACTTTCTGAGACAAGAATGCTGTGATTTTCTATTTTATACCACACTTTAGTACCTCATTGTTCCTCTCAGTAGAGAATGTAGTGTGGAAATAACTTGTCCTCTTCAGTAGAATCATTTGTCTGCTTGACAACTATTCCCAACAGTTCTTTTTATCAACTTGGATAATATTTCTGAATTTTATCTTTGCTATGTGGAAGCAAATTATAAATGTATGCTTTGAGATGAAAGATTCCCATTGACTTTACCAGATTTTCATTATATATTATATAATCTCTCTTCTGTAAATGACTATATCCCTTCTCTTTTGGTCTCAAGGGACAATTGCTGAATCCCTTCACCTTTTAGAACTCTAATATCTTTCAGTCTGAAGAAAACATTAATAATGGAGTTATGGAGTTTCTTTTCTTAGACATGAAAGGAAACAACAAAAAAAATTGTACTAAATACAATTAATTTGCAGTCCCCACATTTATAATTGATGTTAGATTATCAGTCTTCTGGTCTTCATCATTTTTTCATTTATTTCTTTGCCTATAACTTTTCTCCCACAGTGTGTGGCTTTCCATTTTCAAATCCAGTTTTGCTAATAATGTCACACACCACAGATTTTGAGTCATCCATTGAAGAATGATTAAACAGACTTAGCACTCGTAAGCAACTACTTTAAACTATCCATAATTCTTTACTGTCTGACTCTGGAAGAGTATGACATTCTGAATGTCATTTTTACTTCTCACATGATATTTAGCTACATTTCCTTCTAACTCTGATTCAAATTCTCTGTCATGTAAAATCTAACAGGAAGGTAGGAAGGCTGTAGCAGAATCAAGAACTAAATTATTTCTTCCAAGCATACTGGTTAAGAACAATTATTTTTTTTCCACAGCATTTTGCTTTGCCACAATAGCGGTATTATGGAAAAAATAAAAATAAAAATTCTGCAACTGCCCAGAGATCCCATATAGGAGGATATTTTTATTTTTTCCCAATTCCTAACCCTTTCAATTTTTACTTACCCTTGTTTTTATTTTTTATGCACTGGCTCATACCATAAGCTCAGTGGGTTCACGTACATAAGCAGAGCCGATAGCATAAAGGACACTATTCCCAATCACAGTCTCTAGGCATTCCTGCACTACAAATCATGACATTACAGGATTTTCTCTCCCTTGACTTGCTGCCATATCCAGACAATGGTTTATTATGAATCCTGCAAACTGCAGAACAACCTAGGAAAACTATCAAAGCACTAAGATGTTTTGACTGTAATCTCTTTGAGAGCTTGGTTTTATCACCACTATGATCAGAGTGCTCAGCATCTCACATGCTGGCTACTATCCCAAGGAGCCTAATCCCCCATTTCAATCCTTTTTAACTGGATTTTAATTAGGCCATGGTAATTTGTGTGTATGCATGCTCATATAGACAAATTACCATCATACACACTCATGAACACACATATACACACACAGAAGAAATAGTTTATTAAAAAACTCTTTCCCCCCCCCCCCCCCCTCCACTAAGCAAGCAGCTTCCACATGGCTTTAATTTCATGCTGGTAACACTGCACTACATATGCTCATTGCTTTATATATCCTGAAGCCATACCACATGGATCAAACATACTGGCAGCCTTCAGCTCAGCTGAAAAGCTACACAAAATAAAGATGATAAAAACAGCCTAAAGAAACTCTTTTGCTATCAAGGAAAGACAATGCAAATGTAGGCAATAATATTAATGAATGCTACTTACAAATTTTTTCAGTTGTATAAATATTTTAATAATTATATGTGTATATAATAAAATATCTTCCAAGATATGATGGGACTGAGCAGAATTATATGTCAGAGGTATGTAGTCACATAAAGTGCCTACAGTTATGAAGTCACGTTCTGAAAAGGTTCTTTTTCAGAGTGTGATTTTCATACGTTGTCAGATTTTGTTTGTGAACAAATACATTGCAGTGCCAAGGTCTTGTGAAAGAGTCTGGTCAAAATTAGAAGTTCCAATCTGGAAAGTTATTCCCCCATAGAAAATTATTTTTAAATATGTATTTAAAAAAAGCAGATTTTTTTTTCTTGAAGGACAATTTGTGATACTTTCTTTAGATGGCACAGCAAAGATTTTTATTTTCCTTTATGTACTCCATCTAGGCAAGATACATGTGGAACCACTGAGGTGAGGGACTACTTTCTGTGGGAGCTGCAGCATGGCTCAGGTGTGTCGACAAGTGCTTTAAATGAAGAGCAAGATCATGGTTCATCATATAGAAGCCTACATAAATGATTACTTTTAAATTTCTTTGATCTTGTTCATAAAAATATTTAAAAACTTTGGTAGAGAATGTAAGAAAGGCAGTAATGGCTTCATTTTTCTTAATATGGATACAACAAGCTGCTGCTGATTTAGCTCTTTGAAGACCGGGATTTGAGTAGAATAGCTGGAAAGGAACCTTCAAAGGCCATCCAGTCCCACTGCCTGACCACTTCAGCTCATGCAACGTGGCCACAGTAACAAGAAAGTCAATGGTTCTGTTTAAAAGTGATTTCTATTTTTGAGGAGCCTAAAGGTCATCCAGGCATCTGGATATGCAAATCCAGCTTTGGAAGAGCTGCTCCTCGATGTGGAGGATACTTTTGGATCTGGATGTTTAGCCTTCTTGAAAATCTGTCACTGTACATGGATTTCCTGAGATTTCTGGAAGAACTCAGCATGCTCCATGTACAGGTGATCTGCCCTGGGTAAGTAAATGTGCTTAAGGTAAAAATAAATAAATAAAATAAAATAAAATAAAATAAAATAAAAATTAAGGAAAAATATTTTATAAGGCAGTTTTAAAAAAGTACAAATCTTAACTAAAGCAATGGTTCCCTTTTTCTTGGTTGTCACTTATCTTAGGGGGATTATTTTGCTTTATTCTGTGAATTGTGCCTCAGGTTCAATTAACTGTTTAAATTTTGATAAAAAAAATATGGGGTACTCCACTGCTTTGGTGCCGTAGTTTATTTTGATGGATTGTTTTACACCTTCCTTTCCATATGCTTTGGTGCTTGTATACTTGTTCCTCCACACTGTATAATCTATTTGCACTGTGATGTTACCAAATACCTAAGTATTTGTTACGTGCATAGGACTTCTAGAAGTAAATTAAAAATGGAGTTTTCCCAGATGGTTGTACTGCTGTAATTAAGTAAAAACTGCTATTCCCAAGGTGTGCTTGATTCTGCTAATATCATCAGTACTGCTGTTGAATAATCAAGTGTGTTTACAAATAAAATTAGACTGGCTTTTTTTCTTCCAGAACAGCAGGGGTGAATCTTCTCTGGATACAAAACAATGAAGATGTATGGAAGAAGAATGGAATAATACATCAGCTGAATGCATGATCTCCATGATTATATGACAAAAGGAAAAAAAAATAAGGTAGGATTGGTTAAGAAACTTAAAATGGCAATCCATTTTTTACCTTTCCAGACAGCTGCAAATCAAATACTTTTCCTGAGATTGAAGATGAAACAAAAGGAACAGATGTTGTTCCACTATTGGCAGATTAATTGAAAAATTAATGCAGGGCCTTGTTCTTAAAGAAAGGATCTTGTCAAAATTCCGAAATAGAATCAGAATATCCTGAGTTGGAGGGGACCCACACAGATCATAAAATCTAGCTGCTGGTTTCACATAGGACCACACAAAAATCAGACCTTATGTCTGACGGCATTGTCCAGAACTGCAGCAAGCTCAGAGAAGTTTTAAATGTCCCTTTGCTTATTAAGAAATATTAACATATATCAAATTTATTACTTGTTTATTCAAATATTTATTTATTTATTAACATATCTCAAATGCTACTTTTCTTCCACTACTGTTTTTGTTTTTCAGCCCCTCAAACAATTTCTCTGACATCTCAGTCTACTGTGTTTTTTCAGTCACCTCTCATTCAGTAAGACTTTGTGAAACACTGACTTGTTGGTCTCAGGAGGGACGTTTTCCCCACTGTTGCCAGGGCTGCTGGTGTTTTATGGTAACAAGGACTAAGGGGAGAACACTTGTCAGTGAAACATCTTGATAAACAGTCCTTTTGCTTCTGCAATTACCATATTTCTTGATTACCAGGAAATAGGCACTTGATAAACATGTGGTTTCATTGTTTACCCATTCTGGCTTTCAATTAGAACCAGAAAGCAATAATGCACATTAGAACACTGCTTAGTTGGGTTTGAAACTAGGCAGCTAATTAATGATTAGACATTTGCACTTATTTATTTAAGACAATCTCCAGAGTCTTCAGTGACTGGTTTTTACAAAGATAATAGGCTTGTTAGAAAGCTAGAGTAATAGCATCTCCTTTTGGAGTTTTTTTCTTGCTCTTTAAATCACTTGTTATTATTTTTAATTTAAATACTTTTGTCTGGGTATCAGGTATTCAGCACAAGCATAGCACATTTCTCCACACATGGTAGACTGGATGTTGCAGTTTCCAGGCTTTTACCTGTTTTTACCTGTGTTTACAGCATTGTGGAGCTGCTGACCAAATCATGTTATCTGCATTGTTTCATTGTCATCATTTTTGCTTAGCTGCTAAGTATGGTTAATCAGTTGCACTTTGTTGGGCTATCATCTGGTAGTGCCTTTTATTAGTAGCTGATGGACAAACTTAGTACCAAAGTATTGCTGATAAGTATTACAGCATCTCTTGGCAGATCTTGAAGATAAAGCACTTTATCCAAAATCATTTGAGTATCATCTCTGGTTTCAGTCAAGAACTACTTATGAGCTACATGCATTTATTCTTGTGTGAAGTCTGTGTAAGCAAAGGCTGAAATGATCAGTCACGACAGAAGGTTTTATCACATTGAAATGTGCATGCTCAGGCATTGGAAAGAGGAGAGACCCTTAGGTGGGTGCAACGGGGTAAGATAGAACAACTGACCAGCAGCATCAGCAAGTCAAACTCAGTTAAAGTGATCATTTGGTAATATTAGATTAGGCATAAGTTTCCCTCATGACCTCCCAACACAATAACAATACTTTTCAAGCCAGGTTTTTTTTAATGGCTGTAAGTGAAAGCTTTTTGCCTTTTATCTTAAACTGGTTAAAATTCAGGATGACTTATTAGATCAATGGAAAGTACTTGTTTATGAAACAGGGCAAGTATAACAGCACTACCAAGCAGTAAACAGCATTTATTTGCAATTGAAATACATTGTATAAAGTATGTACTACTTCATATATCTTAAAGTATGAGTAGAGGTCATTTTAAGCAGCCAGTAATTAAGAGCAATGAAAATATGAGAATCTAGACAACTTTTCAAAATACATTAGATGCTTAAATCTCTATTATTTTCAGTGAGAGTTAAGCACATAATTTAGAAAAATCTGTGTTTACTAATATTAAAAAATGAGACTGGAACTTTACATTTTTTAAAAAATTCTTCATAGTTCATATCTTTCAGTTAGCAAGAAGTTACACAAACATTTGCGTGTTGCACGGATTCCCATTCATACAGTCTATATAAGGTGTGTTCATGAATACATATATAAAATGTATGTATATATGAAAATATGCTATTATTTTATATTAGTCCATGGCTGAGCATTTATGCTAACACTATACAAAATAAGGTAGGCCAGCTACTAACAAATGTTTTAAGATAAAAGTCACACTTTAATCATACTTTGTGTCTGTATGCATTATATATATCCACTGTCCCTTTTTTAGACTTAAGTGACTCATTTTGTTTTGAAGTTGCTCATTCATTTACATAGCTGAAGTTTGTGCTGGTATGCCTCAGAAACATAACTTCCTCACATGAAGAACATTTCATATGTTTTTAGCATAAATAATGTGGTCATTACTCCTAAATGACACACATTGCTTATTAATAGGGCTAAAAATAGCTTTTTAAATACCCAAAATGCAATTATGGAAATAATGCAGAAATAATCACAACATGACCATTTATGCAATTTAATTGAGTGATTCAGTGAACTGCTAGAATCATATGGCTGTAAGACAGCATCATGCTTTGCAGCCACATCTGTTGTCATTAATCTGACTTCCACTGAAATGCATGGGAAGACACCCTCTTGGTTCCACCAGAAATCTGCACTGATTTCTGCTGATTTCAGTAGGAAATGGATCCTTATCAATATGCTGAGTGAAATTCAAGAATGCAACCCTCATAGGTTACCTGGTGTTTTCTCAGAAGCTTGATAATGGCCTGTATCTTCCAGTTGGTTATAATTATAAAACAAGAGATTAAATTCACATCACACATCACACATTTCTGCAAAAGAAAATGAAATGCAAGAAGTTGATCTTGTGATTTGGAATAGTTTGTTGGTATAATCTCTCTGCTGTTGCAATGTAAAGACATGGAGGTTTTCAAGAAAAAGCTAAGTGTGGCACTGAGAGACATGGCTAGAGAGCATGGTGGGGATGGACTGATGGTTGGATTGAATGATCTTTCTTAGTAATCTTTTCCAACTTCAACGATTCTATGATTCTGTGAAAAATTCCTTTATGAAGTAGGCCTCAATGAGGTAATCTGGCTTCTCTCAAATAACGTCTATTTAAAATATAAATCTGAAATATTTCTGATATAAAAGAAGTTAGGAAGTAGTCCCTATGGAAATACGCATCCATAGACATTACAATGTCAGTTACAAAATATACATAAGGTGTTGAAAATCTGATGGGTGTGCTTTAGGAACTTAATCAGTTGAATATGGACTCAAGTTTCCTCCATGGAACATGGCCAAAACTTCTTGAGATGTTTCTTGACCTTGAATGCATACTCAGTGCATACACTGAGACACAGAACTGAAAGACCATCGGTTTTCAGGTAGGGACCGGTGTATATCTTGATGTTAGTGGCAACTGTACATGCTACAGGGATTCTAAACTGATAACAGGTATAATAAGCTGCTGTTTAATCATGAAGGAATAGAACTGTGAGTCACTTCTTACTTTGCTGCACTTAAGATAAAAAGTTCAAAATGCACTTTGGATAACAAACAACACTACAGGAAAATTTTTCACTTAAAAGATGTTGTTGGATTCTGCACTTTTTCTGTAGAACTACTTCATCATAATTTTGTAATATTTTAAAACTGGAAACAAATTGGGCAGCAAATTGTCCTAATCATGTTTAAATATCATGTTTACGTGTTACTGGAAAATTGAGAAGTTAGGGGCTAATAAAAACATCTGTGCTATTAGAAACTGTGCGCACAGTTTACTTCTTCCTGCATACAGTGCCCTCTGCAGGGCAAACTCAATCAAGTATAGGCTGCATTTTTTTTTTCATTAAGAACATGTATTTCAATTTTAAGAAGTATTTCAGAGGGAGTGGAAGTTTTGATATTCTAGCACTGTAACTTTAACCTCTTGCATTAGAATAGCATTGTCCTGGACAAAAATATTGTTAGTAATACAGGACAGCTGTGGTATATGAATAGTTTTTCATATTTAGCTTGTTATTTTTAGTTCATGATCTGAAAAGACCTAATTCTGGAGGCACAGCAGAACAACGTGCAATAGTAGAGGTCAGTAAGTACCCATAAAAAGAAATAAATTTAGTGATGGAAGAAATATAATGTTGCAAGAATACATGCAATGGTAAATTGTGAAAGGAAAAAGGAAATATACATACTAATGAAGACAGAGCCAGCAGGAAAGCATCCCAACTTCAGCCACACTGCAGCAGTAAAACTGGACTTTCTTACCAAGGTTATTGGAAAAAGACACAATTTTTCTCTGATTTTTTATTGAGTGAGAAAATCTTAAGTCTTTCCATTAACTTCACCTAACCCTTCCAGCTCCCATCAATGAGATGTCAGAATCTGGAGAGATTCCACAGTTCTAAAAAATAATTTTAGTTAAGTGAGTTTTGCAGGGTGGTATCATCTGAAAAAATGCACTGACTATAACATCTGCAATGGTAGAACATCAGTTAGAGAAGTGATTCACTTAGATTTTCCTACGCAGCCAATTCTTCATGTCATCTTATTCCACCTGCTATCAAAGCCTGAAGTGCTGCTGCTGTGCACAGGCAAGGCCAGCAAAAGTAGGAATTTTAAACAGATCCTAGAGATTATTCACAAAAAAAAAAAAAACAAAAACAAAACCCACAAAGAAACGGAGTATTAAAATGTGTATCAGGCAGTGCCAGAAATCTGAATTATTCTATGTTACATATATAAATTAATGCCACAGAATCCAGTGTTTAACCTGGATAAACTCAGACCATTTGATGTATATCCCACTTGAATGGCTAGCAAGTAGAAAACAGGCCCAGAATTATTTCCATTTCAAATTTGCACTTAAAATAGACAATTCAGTGGAAGAATATTCATCATATTTGCTAGAAATTACTTACAATAGGTATTTAAAATCATTAGTTTTGAAGGATAGATACGGAAACAATTTGGAGAGAAGAGATATAAATTTGGACCATATTGGCCATTATTAATGAAGAAAGCCATAGTTTTCTTACCCACCCAACCCACTCCTGGTTGTTCTGCTGTTTCGTATTTCAAAACGATCAGGAAGTGAATTTCCATTCAGTTCTTCCTCATAACTCCTGATCGCCTGTAACTTGACCACACAGGCACTAACAAATAACAGAACTTCTACCACTGCCTTCCTTGTTTATTTATTTGTTTGTTTTTCTCACCCTATAAGTGATTATTGCTTGCATGAAAGAGACAGTTTCTTAAAAAGAGAGAATGAAACATCCCTGGGTGAGAAACAGTTTCAGCTGTTATGGGGTTGGTACTCCTAAGCAGCACTGCGCCCTGATGCTCATCTAGTGCTTTAGAAACTGGAATAGGATTTCTGTCATCAACTGTACTGCAAAGATCATTTCTCTGCATTTTTGAGGAGAGAATTCAGCTCTGACTATTGGAAAAAAGAGGCAATTTTTACCCTGCAGAAATATGTCATTTGTTTTCTTTTAAGAAGTGGTGGGTTGGCAAGTGTTCTGCTCCTGTAGCACATGGATTCCACCTTTATTAGTGCCCTACTTCCTTCTCTTTCACACTGTAAACAAGCAAAAACAAAGCAAAACACCAGACAGCTGAATTTCAGTGCTTCACAGTTTGGTAAAGCAACAAATGTACACAAATATATAGCCAAATATGTATGATATAAGGGACATGAATAAATTTAGGCTAACGGCTATTTTCATCTACTGGGATTTCATATATTCTGCTAAAGTAAGCAAATACATCTGCTTAAAGACCTGTAGATTTAGGACATGCATCCTTAGCAGAATAGACTAAAATCCTACATACAAAAAGGCCCCCAAAATTTAAAAAATTCAGTGTGCATCTGAAGTTTCTATTTCAGGCTCTTCACATAAACAAAACTTGTCCAAAAAGAAATGAAATGTATTTGTACTAAATGGAATAACCTCAGTAATTTCTAGCATCTGCAATGTGAGTGAGCATTGTACTCTTCCATGGTTCTGCAGCGAGCCACATATAAATTTGTCCAGAATATCACAGTAAAGAGGGAAAAATAGAGATTAAATAATTCAATATTTTTTCAGTGCATTGTTTAATTTGCAAGGTGGAGATCTTAATTTTTGCATCTGAGAGCAGTATTTCATCAGTCTGCTTTGCTTCTTGATGAAACATAGTTGCAAATGAGGATCATGTACTGGTCAGCATATTTTAAGTCTCTTCTGTAGAGCAGCCTAAATTTCTCCTATACAGTTTTCACTGCTTTCCATTTTGGGGATGCCGCATCATTACTGAATTGTTGAGTTTCATTCAAACAAGATCCTTTTTTTTCACTCATAGCCATGCTGCTTTTCATATAAAGAACCACATGAATTTTGTAGGCTGCTGTTGTCAGGAGGGAAGGAAGAATTTCTTTCTGTTACCTCTTGCTGGCATGCCTTGCCTGAACAAATCAACCTTGTTACCGTTTTGTTTAGCAGAACCACTCTGGAGCCCTTAATCCAGGATAGTTTCTGTTTCTAGACACCTCCTCCTTTTTTCCAAAAGAGAGTGAGAAGAGAAAAACGAACACAAACCCTATTACTCAGGGATTATGCAGGGCTTGTTACCATAAGGGTAATTTTTACCTCTTGACTATTCTGGAGGAGAGGCTCATAAGACTTTCTGGGTTACAGATGTACAGCTTGGAAACTGTAACCCTTTTGTCTTCAAAATGAGGGAATCTGAGTGCAGTTCCAAATACAAAAGTGGAAGATCGTGGACCATACTTTAAATTTAAATGTAAATGACAGTAGGTCTGCATTTGGCCTAAATAATGCCCACTGAAATGTAGCTCATGGTCATTTCAACACATTTGCATGTAAAATTACATGCCATTTTGATCATTACTTAAGTCTGTCATCTTTCACACAGAGTAATACAGACATTGTCTTGAAAATATTTTCTGTAGTTAAAAGTATTTGTCCCAACATTTCCCCTTCACTTCAATTTCCTTGATTGAACATGAGCCAGCAGTGCGCTCTGGCAGCTCGAAAGGCAAATGGGATCCTGGGCTCCATCAGGAGAGGGGTGGTCAGCAGGGACAGGGAGGTGATTGTCCCTCTCTACTCGGCTCTTGTGAGGCCCCATCTGGAGTACTGTGTCCAACTTGTACTGTGTCTTGACTCAGTACAAGAAAGACATTGAGATTTTGGAAAGGGTCCAGAGGAGGGCGACTAAGATGATCAGGGGGCTGGAGCACCTCCCCTATGAGGACAGGCTGAGGGAGTTGGGCTTGTTCAGCCTGGAGAAGAGAAGGCTGCGGGGTGACCTCATTGCAGCCTATCAATACCTGAAGGGAACCTACACCCACGAGGGGAGTAAACTCTTCAAAAGGGCTGACAACAGCAGGACTAGGGGAAATGGATCCAAGTTGAAGGAGGGAAGATTTAGGTTGGATGTTAGGGGGAAGTTCTTTACAAGGAGAGTGGTTAGGCCCTGGAACGGGCTGCCCAGGGAGGTTGTGGATGCCCCGTCCTTGGATGTGTTTAAGGCCAGGTTGGACGGGGTCCTGGGCAACCTGATCTGAATGTGTGTGTTTGGTGGCCCTGCTAGGCAGGGGGGTTGGAACTACATGATCCTTGAGGTCCCTTCCAACCCGGGTGATTCTGTGATTCTGTGTGATTCTGTGATTCTGTGATTGCTGTAGAGGAGATCTCACTTAGCAACTTGCCCCATGTTGTCTCAGAATCAAATTTTATCTCTAATTTCAAGTCACTCTCAATCTACAGGAAAGTGTTATATCATTCTCAAAGTTTTCGTGTCTGTACTGAACCTCCAAGAAATAATTTTATATGAATAATTTTACTCTGGCTTTCTGGATCTATTTCTCATTTCAGTCCAAAGCTGAACCATAAGCAAAGCTTTGGGAACAGAGATTTGGATGCCCACATTCTAAGTGTAAATCAGTAAACAATTGCAAAGGAACATTTTGTTAAATTGTAGAACATCCTGAGATGGAAGAGACCCACAGAGATTGATGAGTCCTAATCCTGACTCCACACAGGACCATCCAAAATGAAATGAAAGGGTTGTAATTTTATTAAAAGAAAATACATCATGGAAAATATCTTTGGAAACACATTAGTGATATTTACTTGGTATTGGTTTGATGTAATGAATTTATTATAAATTCACTCTTGATATCTTAAGAGAGATCAATAAAGCAGAGATAAGTCTAATGTTTTCAAAAAGGGAGAACATAGAGCCATTATGGGGAAATATATTTTGCAAGATGGAAAAGCAGAATAGATTCACCAAGCTAACAGGAGGAGCAGAAAAATTCTCCCCACCTGTTTTCCTCTCTGTTCCTCTCCCTTGGCATGCTACAAAATATATTTTGAACAAATGGGCTTCAAAAACCTCCTGCTGCTTTTAGAATGGGTATATATTGCTGTAAAATTCAGGTCATATTTGTTCAGGTTTTGTATAAAAGTAAAAATAATACACATTCAATTTTTTTTTGTGTGACTGCAGTTCCAGAGAGATAACTTCAATTTCTTGGTGTCTTTGGCCCTCCCACGCTGCTGATATATTCTCAGGGACCAGCCAAAGAAACACAAACCATCAGCTTAGATCCAGAGACAAGAATAATAGTTGTTCAACATCACACAATCATATATCCCCATGAAAATTAATTTCACAGCTCTTGTGAGACGACTGTGAAGTCTCACATCTACAGCCTAATTGTAGCCTTAAAAATACATGATATGAATTACATTTCTTCCTAATATATCACTGCATCACTTTATATCATTGGTATCTGGAATGCAAAAGTAAATTCCCTTTCTGTCTGCTGAGTGCACATTGTTTTGACATTTCAAAGTTTCCACAGGTGTATTTTTTTTAATACCACATTATACATATCACATATAGGAAATGTTTGATCTGTATTTTCTTCGTCAGTCAATATTTTCCGAGTACTTGATATGAATGGGGAACTAGTGACTTCCAACATTATTTGTTTACAGAAATCATTCAAATTTCAAATTCGAATTCAGTGGCTGAACTGTTCAGAATAATTTCTGCTCCCTTTTAACTCCCTGAGAGAAAATAAATAGATAATACAAACTCAAAACAGCAACAAAAAAAAGTCCACCTTGTTACTTTGCTCTTTCCCAGTTCTTCTCCATAAACTAAGCTTGGATTTTTCACTGCAAACAGACTTCAGTAATGTTTTGTTTGATTCTCAGAGGCTCTGATCTTCAGCATTTTAAGGATTCACACCTGTACCTATGTTTTTCCCTATTCCAAGGGATGGACCACCTCCCCTGCGAGGACAGGCTGAGAGAGCTGCGACAGAGCAACCTGGGGAAGAGAAGGCTCAGGGAGAGCTGAGAGCAGCCCTTCAGCTTTTAAAAGGAAGTTTGTACAAAGCAAAGGTGTAGCATTGAATTCCTCCATGCATCCATTGACATACTTGCTGAACATTTTTGGAGACCAAACAGTGGATGTGAGCACAGTGAAGAGGTGGGTGCTGCGTTTTAGCAGTGGTGACAGCAGCAGTGGGTTACCTCTGCTGGCACAAACTGTTATTTGTGGCATGTAGGCTCTTGCTCATCGCTGGTGAACATGCACAATTGATGGTGGTGACTGCTAAAAAACAGTATTTTGTTCTGAGAATTTGCTCTATCAAATTTATTCTTGTTATTAGAGTTATTGTTCTCTTTGTATCTGTTGTATTTTCCATGGAAATAAGTAGGAGGCATTACTTTTGGAGCCACTTGTAGGTACTTTTAAACAAGAAAGTGCTACAGAGCTTCACTAATAAGCACGTCATTGCATCAAAGTTATTTTCGATTTGTCTTGCAGCATTCATTCATAGGCTGTCAGCTATGCATGTTTGTTCTTTTTAGCTGCTTTCATCTCACTAAAGCTGCCAAAACTAAATGAACTGAAAACAAATAAAAAGGGTTTTCCATCCCAATTCTATGCTTATTTTGCTGTCTGTTTGACCCTAACTGCAGCAGTGACATGCCTAGTCTTGAGAAACAATTAATGAAAAGGCCAGCAGAGTCTAGCACCAGTGAGAATAACTGATTGTTTTCTCTTTCTCTGCACTATGTTCTGCAGGAAATATAAATTAGAATTGTAATGGGCAGGTTGATAGAACTGACCTAATAATTTAGCTGTCAGGCTATTCACAAGCATGGAATTCTCTCAAAAACCCTTTTCTTCGTCTTTTGTTTAGCAGAATCTCAGCTGGGTTTCCCAAAGTAGAAATATCATTCTGTTTCCTTCTCTTTCAGTGTTACTGTCTTCTTGTCTCAGTAGGGAACAGCTTAGTTCAAAGGCATATTAATACCATACATCAGTTTTCTGCTTTTTTTTTTTTTTTTTGTACATTGGCTTAAAGTATTAAAAAAAAAAAAAAAGAACCTCTCATGAATTACAGCTGATTTACAGTATTTCTGAAAAAGAAAAGAATGAAGAACCTTTGTTCTCAGCTAAACACATGAAACTGCTTCTTTTGCCAAATAATTTCAGTGTTGGTTGTGTTGGTTTGTATCAGCCAATCTACAAAAGATGTATCTCCTCAGACTCTTCTGTGTTGATTTGTTAGCATTTCATAAAAGACAAAGATAAAAATATTCATATTGGGAATTCTGAGCAAAATCTTTTAAGTACTGTTACATCCCCATCTTGTTTAACATTGAATAGCAACAAGTCACAAAAAGAATTGTTTCACTTGCTTCTACTTGTCAGATATTTTTAAGGGAAGAAGTCTGAAATGGGGAGCACTAATAAAAATTAATTACTGAATGATAATGATAATGATGTGCTGCTGGATAGTTAGGCAGTGCTTTGAGACAGCGATAAGACAGTAAACGTCTCTGAGATGATTGATTCTTCAGGCTTGAATCTCTGTAACTCAGATCCTGCTCAAAATGTAAAGACAGACATGGATGTGTTTAGAGAATGTATAAGACTGTGAGGAGTTCTGACATTGCAGTAGCAAAATAAGTAAAAATAGCATTAACTGCAGAAAGCAGTTGGAATTCTCATTCACCAAACAATGTATTTTAGTCTCCTCATTATGCTACAATACTTCTTTAATGATGCTGCAGGGGAGATTGCTGAATATACCATACAGTGTTTTTTTTCTAAAAGATGATGCTTGGATTGCCAGCTCAAAGCACCACAGTCCTGCTTAAATTCAACAACTACAGGTGAGCATTTGGACAGGTTTTCTCCCAGACTAAACAAACTGTGGAGTATTTATATTACAGCAGCTCCTTGGAGCACAAATGATAGGTCAGTACTCTAACTGAGGAGATGCTGCAGAGATCTGTACGTCTTCCAAAATGACAGTAGTGCCACAGAGCACTTTCCAGTTGTGACTATCAAAAAGATGGAAAACAAGTCAGATCATGAGTTAGCTGTCAAAACCCCACTGCATAATGAAGATTATAGTACTAAGATATTAATATCATGCTGTACTGAACTGTTGTGTACCATGCTGTCATTACCAGATTATCAAAGCTTTTCTTACTTGTGAATTAAGCAAATAACGGAAGCAAAAATTTCCATTGTAAATGAACTGCAAGAAGAACATTGCATAATGTTCATTACTTGTGTGAATTTGAAAACAAGAAAACATCTGTAGACTCAACTATGAAGTATTTCCATTGCTGCACTGGTACCCAAAGGTATCTTTCCAAGTTAAAGCACTGGCATTTGTATGAGAATGCTACAGGGGGATACCGAATGTGCTCATCTGTAGGTTTAATTTTTGGAAACACTGCAGTCATTGTATAGTGAGCCAATTTCTTCATTATTACATGCAAGTAATTCAGTTTTAGGAGAGTATATTTCTTTCCAGATAATTTCTATTTTTGCAGTGTTAGGTATTCTTTGTGCATACAGGGTCTTAATGCATACAAGTAGAACAGAAATCCTCACTGAAACAAAAGCTATCGTTGGTCTGGCAAATACAGTCTACATTTCTCATTTAAGTATATTAATAGTACACAGACATAAATAACTCCTCTATTTAATTCAGATATGATAACATCATTACCTTAGCTTACTTGTGGCTTGACATATAATCAACTGAGATACAAAAGAGGAGACACAATGAGTTCTTAGGAAAGCTAATCATTCCACAAGGTAACTGAATTTAGATGCCCTCTTCCAAAATGCTCTTAATATCCTATTTCAGTAGAAGTAGCTGGGCTGTTGTGGGGGATCTATTAGGCTGGGGCTTGAACTGGTGGAACTGGTGATTGAGCACCTGGTGAAGGTGTGTGTCTGACTAGGGAGCACAGGCAAATTGCTTGCACCTGTGTTTCCCATGTGACTAGAAGGGGTGTACCCAGGGTTAAGTCCCCCCTGGGCTTATATAAGGGCCAGTCACTGAAAAGACAGCATCTCTGATGTAGGTTGTATCTTGAGTAGGTGTGTTTTGTACCCAGAGAGTTCTTTCAGCACATGGGTGAGTTCAGCTCTTCTTTCTGTATCTGCCTGTCTGCTCTACCTGCAAATACTTTGCCTGCTATTGCCAAGAACTTGTCAGAAGTGGTTTTGCTTGTGAGCAGGGCAGCTGTATTGAGGTTATCAGAAATGATTCCAAAGAGTTCTAGTGGCTCTGTAGAGGTAAGACTTCTCCCTAATTAGAGGCCCATCATCTTGCTAAGTGTACAAATCAGATGTATTTGGTATTGCCTGTGTGCAGATTAAAATGATTAATGCTGGTAAATATATTGCTTTAAACTTTATAAGCACCACTTAACCTTTTATATTTTATTGCCTACAGCTTCTTAGATTTATGTTACAGTTTGATCTCTTGAATTTAGACACTTCCAGAAGTTTTATTTTATTTTTACAGAAATAAATACTTGAAGGGGATCTAGAATACAGCTCTTCTAATCACAGAAGAACAGAATTGTAGGGGTTGGAAGGGACCTCCAGAGATCATCGAGTCCAACCCCCTGCCAAAGCAGGTTCCCTAAGTAGGTCACACAGGTCGGCATCCAGGCAGGTCTTGAACATCTCCAGAGAAGGAGACTCCACCACCTCCCTGGGCAGCCTGTTCCAGTGCTCCATCACCTCACTGTAAAGAAGTTCTTGCGCACATTGGTGCAGAACTTCCTATGCTGCAGTTTCCGGCCGTTTCCCCTTGTCCTGTCTCCACTCACCACTGAAAAGAGTCCGGCCTCACCATGCTGCCCCCCACACCTTAGATATTTATAGACCTGGATCAGGTCCCCTCTCAGTCTCCTTTTCTCAAGGCTGAACAGACCCAGTTCACTCAGCCTTTCTTCATAGGAGAGATGCTCCAGGCCCTTCACCATCTTCGTGGCCCTCCGCTGGACTCTTTCCAAGAGATCCCTGTCTTTTTTGTACTGGGGAGCCCAGAACTGGATGCAGTGCTCCAGATGAGGCCTCACCAGGGCAGAGTAGAGTAGTAATCTGTACTGAGTACTCAAGGTATTAAGCAAGACAGTATTTCCTTCTCTTTTCCTGCATTTTGCACAAGGTTGTCCATAGCTCACTCTCTGAGCGATACAGATTTAATTGCCTTGTATGGCTGAGGTAAGAAAGATGTAGATCACTGATTCTGCCAAGACTAGCAACTGATACAATGCTGGTTTTAGTGTAATCAAATATATTCAGGCTATCCAGAACAAAACTTCAGAAGGCATGATTTAAACAACAAAAAAAAAGCTGTGCATCCCATGAAGTCTTGGCACTGTAGGTGGAAATGGTCATGCAGTTTGGAGGACTAAAACTTGTATTTTAGGTGGTTCAAGAGACAAACACATTTTAACGTCTGAAAAGTTCACTAGAAGCCAAAGGATGAAGATGACTGAACATAAGAATTTAAATTTATTAATCTAATTAATCTTCTATGCCCAGAGGGCCTGAAAAGGAGTCTGTACACTTCAAAGGGATTTTCAGTTTTGAGGGATATACAGTGCAGATTTAAACCTGACTCAGATGCATGTAATTAAAATCAGCAAGTACTCATAGCATACAACGGTGTCTCAGTAGCTGATTTGAAATCACTCTAAGCTCTCCAAACTCAATATAGTTTACACTAGACTACTCTTAGTGCACGAATGAGTCATTAAAATGTTCATGCTGAGAATTCTAGCACAGACTTATGAATCACTTTGTAAAAACAGGCATTCAGTCTTTAGCATCTTCTGGTGGTATTTACTGCAAGACATTTGTTATTGCAACAGCGATGGTAGAGCACTTGTAGCAAACAATCTGCTTTCATGGTAACAATTCCCTGTTCTGTCCCTTAGTTGCAGAATGTTCTGGAGCATTGTTAGCTGTGATTGCACTTTAGGTTCTTCGCACATAAAACTGTACTGG